CATTATTGCATCTCTAATCATGAAGCCAATACTTCTCTCTCTTTTCGTTTTAAGTGATGACAGTACCACTTAAAAAATTGTTGTTCATCATAGTATAATGATTATTTGAAAAGAAAAATAGTAGGAACACATTCCAAAAAAAACATATTTTAATAGGAGTGAGTGAGAAAATAGTATATAGAAAAAAAAATATATATGAAAAAATAAAGTATAGAAGACCTTTAGAAAAAAAAAAAAAAAAAAAAAAAAAAAAAAAAAAAAAAAAAAAAACCTAAATCCAGAAGAAGAAGAAGGGACACATAAGATTTTTTAATAGGAGTGAAAAAAAAAATGTATCCTAACGAATTACACCGCAGAAAATTAAATTGTAGACAAATCTTTGGCTGAGAGAAAAAAAGGGAGAAAAAAAAATAAAATTAGACAGTTAAATAAAGAAAAGAAAAAAAATAAAAATGAAAAAAAAAAACAAAAAACGAAAAACGTAACACCGAGCCACAAAAACAATAACGGAGCAAAAAAAAAAAAAGCAGAAGGAAACGAACAAAACGATTTGTTATTTAGGTACATATAAGAAATAAATTCGAGATGGTTTTGGCGCAAAAAAAAAAAAAAAAGTTGAGGTAGAGACATATATGGGAAGAAATTATTTAAACTGAACAGTTAGAAAAAAAATATTTACGAGGATCACATTAGAAAGAAGGAAAAAAAATAATTTATAGTGAGTAAAAATAATAAGATTAAATAATGGGGATAAAAATAAAATGACGTACTAAAGAAGTAAAGAAAACAAATTAGGAACGAAAAAAAAAGTTCCACAAAAAAGGTTTAAGTAAGGACATATGAGAAGAAATTATTTGAACAGAATAATTACGGAAAAATATTTATGAGGATCACGTTGAAAAGAAGGACAAAAAAATAATCTGTAGTGGGAAAAATGATAATTCTAAAAAAAAAAATGATAAGATGGAAAAAGCGACAATTGCCGCTTTTATATATGGTAATGATTATCCCCGGTATTCCTGAATTTTAGGACAATCCTCAGTTTATCACTCGAATTGAAATTCATTTTGATTATTCGACAGATCTAAGAGATCCGATTGTACAAGCAATTTAACGATATAATCTTACAAAGCAGTATGAGAGAACATCTCATAGCCACAAATTGGACCTCAAAATAAGTAACTCCACAGTCAGAATCACACAATCATACCTGGACACCAGAGGTTCCAATTACGGAGTTCTCAGGAACCGTCTCCATGCTCAACTTTCTCTTGAGAGGGTTCAACGATAGCGGTCGTGGCAGGAGGGGGCTCTTCAACTTGGCGGCGGAGATCGCCAGCGAGTGCTTCAGAATCGGGGGCAACGAGTTAGGATCCGACGGCGCGTTCTCCTTGAGCCCCTTTGCTTCCACGACGGTCGAGGCTTGGCTGCGCTAGGATCGGGTGAGGCCGGAGACTCTATCGTCCTCTCCCTTAAGATCGCATTTCTTGGCTGCATGAAGTTCTTTATGGCTGCGAAATCTAGAGAGAGAAAGAGAAGAGAGATTGAGGAGAGAAAGAGAGAGAGGAGACGAGAGAGATTGAGGGGGTTTTGGGTCAGTTCTTTTCTTGCATCCAATAACAACCGCCGCGTCATTGTGAGGCCGTTAACGCACCACATCCGGTGCATAGCTTTTTTTGTGGGGCTGCGCGGCTTATTTAAGGAGAGAGAGAGCTCCCTAAAACAAAATTTCACCATCAAGTAGGAGTTAGTTATGCTCACACTCTGCTAGAATTTTAATAAACATATTTCCAAATTCCCTCTTAACAACTGGATTGCAAAAGTGGAAAATCTATGCGACAACGAAAGACGGAGACAAAAAAAGCTATCAAAAGCCATAATAACGAAGAACAACGACAACAAACAAAATGATGAAGAAAGGGCTGACCGATAAGATTGTTGGTTATGGATGACATCTTTTGTGTGGCTATAAATCCTTAACAATGAAAGAAACAATAAGCAACACACACAAAAATTAACAAGAGATGGCGCGATTAGCGAAAAGAGGAATAAGCAACACAAAAAATATTAGAATAAAAAAATCTGCAATACAATCACCCACTCAGATAGCACAACATCAAGTTCTTCTTGGCATATGTCACTTTTTTTATTGAACCTCAAAATTTATGTAAAGGTAGGTAACACACCACTTAATCCTTCAACGCAATTATACAGAAAATTACACGAACAAGAATGTCATTAAAATGTCAGAGTAAAACCAAATCACCAATAAAACCAGTAGAAGTGATATTAGCATTGTTACAATTACTGTAAATAGAATATTGTATCAAGGTCTTGGAATAAATTGACAGATTTACGTAAAATTGTGATCCCTGATACTGGAAAGGAAAATGAGTATGCTCTTCATGTTCAAAGTCGGAGGGGTTGGGATAGGCTCATGTTACATTTTAGTTATTTTCGTTGGACTTTTTCAGTAGGACTATTTCTTATTACCTTCTTTTATCTTCTTGTTTTGTTAGCCAATTTTGTAGTTGGTTTTTGAAATTTTTATTCTGTTTTCTTTTTCTTTTTAATAAATCTATTTGAAGGACTTACTTCTCTCTCTATTCATTTAAAAAAATAAATATTATATCCAATAAGATCTGACATAGTGAAAATGAGAAATGATTTATCATTATTATAATAACGTAATAAAATGGTATTTTGATGATTCTTAATATTAAATGCATATTTTAAGGGAAACGAGCAAAACTACTCTTTTATAATAGTCATCTTTCTACTATTGACCATTTAATTAACTGCCCTTTTATCACAACATATCAACTTAAATAAATTAAAAAAAAAAAAGGAGCATACTAAACACAAGGGGTAATATTAATTTCACGTTAATTTTAAGGGTTAATTCTATAGAAAAATTCAATTATCTTTCTCTTAATTGGAAAAAAAATCAATTTCTCTTCCTCTTAATTGGGAAAAAAACTATGAGAAAATATGGGGATTAGTTATTGCCTATAATCTATCAAAACTAAAAACATGACAAAAGAACTCAAGGGATATTTTTGGCAGCCCAAACAATATAATTGAAAAAATCAGTAACACAAGTGATGTTTTGACAACTAACCACATTTCAATACACCTCTATAAAATAAGCCAGATTGGGTAATTTCTCTATTTTCGTTTGCTTGTGGCAAAAGTAGAAGCAGAAAAGCTGTTGTGGATCATCTAAATCTTTCTTGATGATATATGTGGTCTAATGCGGGTGAGGATGAAGAAAAGGAGATTGCAAATAAAAATGGGGAAATTTTATTGACACCCCAAATATTCCCCAAATTTTTATTAAGGCACCCAAAAATATTTAAAATGTAAATTTATTTTCTTTTTAATATTAAAAGCTTGCATAATTTCACAAATACCCTTATATAACCCATACTTTTTACATATGAATGAAAAAATTCTGATTCTCCAGAGTATATAAGAAGAGGAAGAAGAGGCAGCCAGAGATACTCGTTCAAATCATTTTCGTAGCTCAATTTCTTTTTTTTTTTTTTGTGAAGTTTTTTTTCTTTTAGAAATTTGGCTGTTGGGATTGGATTTTTCTCAAGATTTTCTTCTTCTTCTTTTTTTCAATGGTCGTTTTTACTATTTTTCGCTCTAATTTTTATATAAATCGTTGAGCTCAAAAAAGCTTTTGGATTTGTGGAAGTCTTAGGTTTAATCATTGTGTTTATGGGGTAATGTGAAGTTTTCCCATGGCAACTGATTTAGATAATTCTTTTACAGCAGGGGAAGTCAGCGGTTCTCCCTGGAAAATATAAACCTATCAGCATCTCCCAAATCCACCCCAAGAAAAATATGCAGATAAAAATAAGTTAAAAAAAAAAAAGATAAAAGAAAACGTTATTTATATTGAAAGATCTTAACAAAAAAGAAAATAAAATTTTATCTTTTTAAGGAAGAATAATATGTGGAAAAATATGGGGTGTATGCAAGGGTATTTGTGGAATTATGTAAGTCTTTTATATTAAAAAGAAAATATACTTATATTTTAAATATTTTGGGGTGCTTTAAATAAAAACTTGGGTGTCAATAAAATTTCTCATAAAAATGATATGGGTGAATAAAGAAACTGTATAAGTGGTAGTGGGCTTAATTTACACGGGAGACCATGAATAAGCAAAAGGGCGCGAGCGCCTTTAGGGCGAGAGACTCAGAATCCAATCTGTCTGCAACGGGTGTCTTGTCCATAAACAACAAAAATTGATCCGGCTTATTGTTTGCTGAAGGCTTGGCGTTAAAGTTTGTTGTCCATCTTCAAGAGCGATTGTCTTTAACGTGTTGATGTATAAGCAAGGGGAGGAAAATCTAACATAAGGAAACTTAAGCTATGTCTGGGGAAAAGAAAGTAAATAGTTGAATCCTTTTTCAATAAAAATAAATAAATAAATAAAAAGGTTTAGATAGAAAGCATAAAAGTGAGAAAAGTAGAGGAGATGAATTCCCTCCAATCTCTCCATTGAGAAATTAAATTATACTTTGAAGGATCACCCAATCCACTCCCTCCTCTTCTCTCTCTTACCAAATAAGTATAGATACCAAAATCCTTCATAATCCCTTCACCCTTGTCCCTCCTATTTTTCCCTCCAACCAAACAAGCCTCTCCCTCTTTCTTTTACGTCCTACCAAACAAGGTGTTAAAGTCAGTTAAAATATCAATTCTGAGCTTCTAATTGCAAGTGGCGTTAGAAACGGGGGTTGTAGAGGCTCTTGGGAAAGATAATGTTCTCGTGTGAAATCCCACATCAAGGGTCAAAACAGAAAATATCCACAAGGCGATGCCCTTTAAACTAAGAGTCCTACTACAAGCAGTACCCAGAAAGAGAATCATTTTCCTTTCAGTAACAACAAAAGAAAATGAAAAAAAAAAAAACTGATTCGTCAAATCTGTCAAGCTCCGCAAGGTATAGATGATAGTCACTCTTCGCAAATAAATGAAACTAATACTCGTACAACTATTTGTTCTCAATGGCTATATTACATGAATATTTTCAAAAAAAAAAAAAAAAAAAAAAAAAAAAAAAAAAAAAAAAAAAACCAGTTTGGATGTGTGCAAAGACATCTAGATTACATGACCAAGTCAATGTTTAGCACAAATCAAACAAAAAATATAAAATAATAGATACAAGAGGAAAACATAAATCAATAATGGTATCAAATGCCATTCCCACTGCCGTAACCCAATTCAAATCAGATGATACGCCACTCCAAATCTTTCAACAAAGAACAAAACTAGGCGATGCACATCTGACAACATTGATCACTCCAGAGTCCAAACATGTTAAAGCTGAGAATTCCGATAGATCCACCATACGAGTGAGATTTTCTATGAAAAACATAGCTTAGGAGGAAAGTTGGAATCTGCCACTAGGCTTTTTTCTTCTCCATCCCTGCATTTCGTATAACCAATGCCATTAGGTTCAGATGGGAATCAACACGCACACAACTATAGACAAAAAAAGGTACGTTAGATACTTACAAAGGCAGCATAATACACAAAGGTCAATCCCGCAAGAACAATAAATGCGATTTGGAATACGTTGTACCTGTGATGAATTTATAAATAAAAAAAATGTCCAACCAAATTATACGGCGCACAAGCCTGGTCAGAATAAACTATAAAGCATCGAACTTCAAAGTATAGTACTCACTTGTACAGATATTTAATCCCACGAAGTGACTGTAAAGTGTGACCAAATATTTCCTGTGCTGCAGTTGCTTGAGCATAGTAAGCAAATGCTGTGGAGCAGAACTGGATCACACTGATATAAGACAAGATAAGAAACCACACTTTCAATAAAGGTTTGGATCTACGCATGTAATGACAGAATAACAATGGCCTGCAACCACTACACAATTCAATAAATCTCATCCCACTTATAACCTCTAGCTTCATCCACAACATAGTACATACAACTGTATATGTGAGCAAGCAGGAATACGTTTGTGTATAAAGCACTAAAATTGGTCAGCATCATGAAGCCAATACTTCTCTCTTTTCGTTTTAAGTGGTGACAGTACCGCTTAGCTAGAAAGGGCTGGCAATACAGAACCTAAGTTTTACCTCGCATATTATTAATTTGCACTACAGCATAGACTGACTCAAAAGATAATAATTAAAAGGGAAAAGCAGTGAAAACTTTTGAAAATGGCAAGTCTGTCAAAAATCAAAATATTAGCAAGCTAGGACAAATATGCTGGTAATAAATTTAATGAAAATGAAAAGAGAGCAAAAGATGCTAACCTGATGGAGCATAGGAGAATAAGTGCCACATTAAATAAAAATGAGTTCATAAGAGTGGCTCCCCACCTGGAAAGAAAACAGTATCAAACAATGTTAGAAAATACTAGGAAAAACTTTAATAACAAATAAGCAAGATTAAATAAGCAAAGACACCTAATCAAACTATGGTGATAATTAAGATGTATCGAGAAAGGAGGGAAAAAAAAAGGAAGATAAAACTGAAAATCAAATTACTTCATGGGATGGATTGTAATAAAAACTAATCTCAGGCCAAGCATCATTGCTCCGGCAATGACAGCCAACAGAAGGTAGAAGCAGAAGAATGCAAACGCAACAGTTCCCAAAAGACCTGGTTGAAAAGTATGAGATGTCAAAATTATAGTCGTAACTCACTAAACAGGCAATATGAAAGGGGAAAAAATGTCATAATAAGTATGATGAAATACCCCAAATATCATCCAGCTTGATGAAAACCTCATTCAGGAAAGCAGAAAGAGGAGGGTCAATCAACAAATATATGACGATATGAGCAACCCAAGCTATAGAAACAATCAACCTGACAACACATGATGCGAATTGTTGAGATAAATCAAACAAGAAAACTCATCAAATTCTCTGATAACTACAAGATATAAGGAAACAAAAATTATGGCACTGCATAACTAATTTTCACAATTTTTCTGACATGACAATTTAATGTCATCCAATGGAATACAGATGCAAACTCTGTCAAATGCTTAAAAGCCATTCCAAAACACCATCCTGCTCTTGTACTTGAAAATTATACTCTATAACTTTCAAAGCTGTAATGCTGGAATTTTAACGGGTTAAGTCTCTAGTACTATTAGTGCAAATAATTTAATGTCATCCAATGGAATACAGATGCAAACTCTGTCAAATGCTTAAAAGCCATTCCAAAACACCATCTACTCTTACTGCAATCACCTTCAGAGTATGGTAATTCCATAGATTCAGTGGCAAACCTTCAATGCGGATCCAACTATCTCTTGCCTCAATTTGTGCATATTTGCAGTAAGAGTAGATGCTCCATTGTTTCAGCGTAGCCTGAATTTCGGGATCAAAGCATTTTTGGACTGGAATTTCATGGGCTGGGCAAAAATTTAGTAATACAACAAAAAGAGGTGGACCAAAAAAGAGTCTCGAGAGGATTAAGCGTATGTACACAAGGCAGATCAGAGATTCAAGAAGCGGATCAATCAAGGTCATTCTTCAACAAGAAGCCCAGTTATTTACGCAGAGCAAATTCAGAACCGACTTTGGCAAAAGGTTCACTGCTCCAAGGAAAGGGCCGAGATGGATGTCGCTTTTCTAAAGTAAACCCTAAAAGGGCCAACGAATTTTCTATAGGAAAAATTGTTCGAGGGAATCATACAACTCGTTCTTCACAAAGGAAAGCATCAACGACAGGTTGATGGAGAGGGCTTAACAGGTCCAAAGGCTAAAGAGACAAGACCTAACATTTTCCGCAGCTTCTATGCAAAGGGCGATAGACGGAAAATATGGATGCCGAAGTCAAAGATGGTAGCGACTTGCGAAGAGACGGTGGGAATGATTGAGTCGGATGAAGATGTTATGGACAACGTGGGAAACAATTTCGGGCTGCCGGAATCATCGCTTGAGGATAGCAACAGTTCGGGAGATGATAAGGATGCATGGTCAGAAGGCGAGCCTCAAAGCGACAAGGACAGAGATAGCTTGGTGGGGATAGAAGAAATAAGGCTACTCCTAAATGACAATAATGAGAATTCGGCAAACACCACTCAGGTAAGTCTGGTTAACCATGACTTTAGCATGAACCGAGAGGCTGTTTGTGTCACACCCATTCAAATTTTGAGTCCTCCTAAATCCATCATGTTTAATTCTCATTCTTCTACTCCTATTCTGGGGATGGGTGGTGAGGGTAGTACGGAAGCTAGGGTGAGAGGTGTGGAACATCATTCAGAGGCTAGGCATTCTAAAGAGTTTCAGGGTGGTGGCAGTGAGAAGGAAAGCATAAATGGGCAGCCTAGAGAAGGGCTAGTGGAGGTGAATGGTAGGACCATTGAGTGGGGAGATGTTCTGGAGTTGGTGGAGAAAATGCAACTTAGGTTAGTGCCAAATGAACAAGGCAGGAAAGGAGACATAAGGAGTAACACAGTAAAAAAGAAAGGGGGAAATAGGGAATCACAAAACTCGACTTTGTTAATTACGAAAAGTCAGAGATGAAGAGGGGAACAAATGTTGGTAAATGAAGATAATGACTTGGAAAGTTAGGGGGAGTTGCTCCTATTTGAAAAGAGGGAGCATTAAGGAGGTAATCTGCAAGGAGAATCCTGACATAGTAGTTCTACAAGAGGTTAAAACGGAGGCAGTGGATAGGAAATTTATAGGAAGTATTTGGAAGTCGAGATTTAAGGAGTGGGTTTTTCTCCCATCAGTGGGCAGATCCAGAGGTATTTTAATAGTGTGGGATGTTCGAAAAGTGACCGTTTTGGAAAGTCTGATCAGCAAATTCTCTGTATCAATTCACATTCGGATGGAGGGATTAGAGGATTGGTGGTTTTCTGGTATCTATGGGCCAAACAATGCTTCACGTAGATTTTCATTTTGGGATGAGCTTGCAGGTTTGCAGGAGATCTGTGGAGACAATTGGTGTTTGGGAGGGGATTTTAATGTGGTGAGAAGTATTGATGAAAAAGCGAATAGTCCTACATTCATGCGAAGTATGAGGATGTTGGACGAATTGATAAATGAAATGGAGCTGATTGACCCTCCGCTTTCCAATGCATCGTACACTTGATCTAATTTCAAGGAAATTCCGATTTGTTGCCGATTGGATAGATATCTCTTTTCGGCTAATTTTGGTAATTTGTTTGAGTATATCAGGCAGGAAGTGGCGGTAAGGAGTGTATCGGATCATTGCCCAATAATATTGTCAACCAACCCGCCTTCTTGGGGTTCTACGCCATTTAGATTTGAGAATATGTGGTTGGAACATCGGCAGTTCAAAGATTATTTTTCTGGGTGGTGGAGGGAAGAGCAAACACATGGGTGGGCCGGCTACAAGTTTATGAGAAAATTAAAAAACATTAGACCCCATTTGAAGAGCTGAAATTTGGAGGTTTTTGGGGATTTAAGACTAGAGAAGACAAAGTTGTGCAAGAGGATCATGGAAATTGACGAGACAGAGGGCAGTATTGGTCAAATGATCTAATGGAGGAAAGTGTAAAGATAAAAAAGGAGCTGAATGGTTTGCTGTTGAAAGAGAAAAGGACAGCAAAGATGAAATCGAAGTTCACTTGGGCTAAGGTGGAAGATGCAAACACCAACTGTTCCATAAGTTAATGAATGCTCAAAGAGCAAGTAACACAATTACGAAGCTAGAATTGGTGGATGGCACGCTAATTGAAGGGGAAGACCCAATAGTGGAGGAAATTATTTCGCTCTTTAAAAATCTTTATACTGCTTCAGGAGGGTGTTGGAAAGGAATAGAAGGTTGGAATGGTGTCCAATATCAGTGGAAGAAGCGTTAGAGTTGGAGAAACCATTTGAAGAGGAAGAAGTTAGGAGAGTTGTTATGGGATGCGATGGGAACAAATCGCCGGGGCCGGATGGATTTTTCCTTTGCTTTCTTTCAATCTTGCTAGGAGATGGTAAAAGGTGAGCTTATGGAGGTGCTGGCGGAATTCCATTCAAATAGGGTGGTAAACAGTATCACTAATGAGACATATATAGCTCCAATACCTAAAAAGCTTAACTCGTGCAAAATTAGTGACTTTAAGCCAATCAGCCTTGTCACTAGTTTGTACAAGATAATTTCAAAGGTATTAGCTTCCCGTTTGAAAGATGTTCTGGAAAGAACAATCTCAGAGGCGCAAGGTGCTTTTGTAGCAGATAGACAAATTCTTGATATTGCTCTCATTGTGAATGAAGTGTTAGAAGATTATCGTGCTCGCGGGAAGCAAGGTGTTGTTTTTAAGATTCACTTCAAAAAAGCTCACGACCATGTTGAGTGGGAATTTCTGGATTTTGTTTTGGAGAGGAAGGGATTCGGTGAGAAGTGGAGGAAATGGATTCGAGGTTGCTTGTCCTTGGTATCCTTCTCCGTGATGATAAATAGTAGGCCAAGGAGAAAATTTAAAGGATCGAGAGGTTTGAGACAAGGGGACCCATTGTCTCCTTTTTTGTTCACTTTGGTGGCAGACACACTAGGAAGATTAGTGGATAAAGTCGTAAATCTTGAAGTAATTCGGAGTTTGGAAGTGGTTAGAGCAGGTCTTAAGGCATCCCATTTGCAATTTGCCGATGACACCCTTTTCTTTTTGGAAAATGGGGAAGAAAACTAATGCTCACTTATGACCGTTCTTGATGTTTTCTGTCTAGTTTCTGGTTTTACAATAAATTTGGGAAAAAGTGTCATATTAGGTATTAATATTGAAGAAGAGGAAGTCTTAAGTTTTGGCTGTGCGGTTGGCTCTTGAACAATCAAATACCTTGGTCTCCTGCTTGGTGGGAATCCGTTGTAATTCATCCTTTTGGGAACCGGTAGTTTTGAAAGTGACAAAGAGGCTTGAAGGTTGGAAAAAAGCTTTTCTGTCTCGCGGGGGAAGATTGACTCTCATAAGATCGGTTTTGTAATCTGTCAGGCCCCCGGTGAGGAAGGTCTACACCAGGAGGACCAAGGGTGGACTGGTGGGAGACTCAGGCCCAAATGGAACGGAGGAAAGGGGTTTGGGTGTCAAGACAGGCCCATCTCGGAATTCGAGTCTGGCTGAGGGAGGGGAAGCTGACGTGGGAAGTTAGTTAGAGAATCGGTGAGGTATTTGAAGGGAGGAAGGAGTGCTGTGAGGGGGGCATCATTTTTGGCTTAAGCTGGTTTCCATTTCCGTTTGTATTGTTGAGCTTCAAGTCAAGCTCATTTCTGTATTCCGGTGATTAGTTTAATAAAAATACCACTCAGAGGTTCTTCTTCCATTCATAACAGTAAATTCTAGTGTTAAGGCCAGGATTCTATCAATTTGGTATCAGAGCCGGCGATCCATGGCGTAGCACACTCCCACGGCGAGCACAACCGAGCGAGTTTCTAGCTTAGAAAGAGGTCTCGAGTCCATCAAGGAGACGGTTCAATTGATGGGAGCTATGGTGGACCACGTACCTCAGCTGCAGGAAGATCTTCACGTTCTGGGAACTCAGATAGGAGATGTGCAAGGGGCCCTCCACCGCTTGGAAACACTGTTGGGACGCCACCTTGAGACTCAGGTTCCAGCCCCACCGCGTCGGGAGGTGGGGCTTGACAGGGAACGGGGAAGGCAGAACGAGTCTCCGGACCAGGGCAGTGGATGGCAGGAGCACCGAGGAAGACGCCTGGAACTGCCGATCTTCCAAGGGGACGACCCCTATGGGTGGGTGTTCCGGGCGGAGCGCTACTTCGCCATTAACGGCGTTGAGGGGGAGGAAAGGGTGATGGCAGCGTCGATATGCATGGAGGGAAGGGCCCTCGGTTGGTTCCAGTGGCTGGACTCGTAGCACCCCTTCACCGAATGGCGAGATTTGAAG